GCAGTTTTCAGCATTCATTCTTCACTTAACTGAAATACCTCTATGACATAAATTATTTGGTTACCCTGAGGTACAGTTCTTACAGATAAGGATTTAAAAACAATTAGGTGTTTACCTAGCATCATTGAAGGGACTTAATCTTTAAAAATCATTATGAATTTATGGATGCAAAAGCAGGTCTTGTATCACTCCTTTTCCACTGTTATTTTTATTGTCCCAGGTTTGAATGGAAGAATCCTTAAATTGGCCTTGAGGCTTTTTTTAATTTTAATTTTATTTATTTTTTAATATATATTTTTATTGTAAAGATACTGTACAGAGGGGTTACAGTTACATGAGTTTTCCTATTGAGCATTGTTACCCTCTCCTTTGTTTTTCCCCTACCATCCCTTTCCTCCCCACCACCGTACTTCCCCTGCACCCAGTTGTAAAGTTCGTTTTCAACATAGTGTCTTACACATCTCATTGTTACAATAGGTCTGCCTGTATCCTTATTTAAACATTTTGTTATTTCCCTTCCCCTCCCCCTTAAGGCTTTTCAAACACCTTAGTAATCTCTGGTTCTGATAGAACAGGATCTTCCAGAATCATTTTCTGGATTAGGCTGGTGATCAGCCATTTCTCTAAAGAGCACTCAATCCTTTTTATAGTTAGAGACCATAATCTAGGTGTAGTCTAATACTACACCTAATACATTTTTCTAAAGATCGTATATAAGAAGCAATTTTTAAATCTATCCCTGATCTAGTAATTTTCCATTTACAGAGAAATGGAGAGATTGAAGAAAAGTCTTAATTCAAAATAGTGAAAAATATAAAAGAAACTTTACTTTCCCTTAGAGCGTATATTTTCATTGAGAAATTGGCATCTCATATTATATATTATAAACTTAATGTGGCCTTCTCTAGGTACCCCTCCATTTTATGCTGCAGAATTTTAGTATGTGCTGACTGAAAAAAGCAAAGCCCACTACCAACAACAGTGAATCTAAATCCATCCATAAATCATTAATAATATAAAATAACTGAAATTAACTCAAATTATCTGAAATGGTTGGGATTAGCAGAAGAAAACAAATTCCAGTCTCACATAAAATACTTCTATCTGAGAAGACATTTCCCCATCCATTAATTGAGTTAGAATAAAAACTGTTTATAGGCTTTGTGTCTGTTAATGCAAAAGTTTATCATTATCTGGGTTGTTCTTTTCCTATCTCAATTTTGAATATTTTTCAACAATAACTTGGTGTTAGGCAATACATTAGCTTGTAGAAATGGGGTGGAGAGAACTCCCAAGTTGCTTGTTTTTATACCCTCTCTGCTAAGAAGATATTTTCCTTATTTATAATTTATGTGAGTCTACACTGATAACAGTCCTAAAATTTACCTTGGTGTTTTTTAATCACAAGCCTGTCCTTTTCTGAGAAGTGGAAACATGAGTGTTATTGTTGATTATTTGAGACTGTACTTGTTCTAATCACCTTTACTTTGATGTGTAATATTTAGTTAAAAATGCTTTCCATTACATAAATTATTTTGGATGAAATTAGTTTAAATTCTGCATTTTATTTGTACCTTGAAAAGCCTCTCACATTTTAAAAATGTGTTATTTATGGTTACCAGGGGTAATGAGTATATTCTTGTTTATTGTTATATTTTCATAGTAGTCTGTAAGTGATCTACTTAATCATATTTCCTACATTTCTTTTTAAATGATACCTTGTCCAAAAATACTAAATATTCAGCTATAAAGATCATATTTTCCTTATTTAAAAGTTGAATCTATTTTAATCACATAGCAAAAAGTAGTCAGAAATGTATTAAAATGAAATTGAGTGCAGAAAAGCACAATTCTGTTAACAAGAATATATTTGCAATAACTAGTATATGAATGAGTTAAGCAGAAAAGGTCAGATAAGTTGATGTTAGGGGAATGAACCCCAAGATAAGTATTCAAATGTTTTTTTGTTTTTTTTGTTTTCCTTTCATGCAGTTGTTTCTAACATATTTATAAGATGATTTCTTTGTTACTTTGTATGTCCCTCCCCCACGGTATAACCCATGCTTTCACTGTATTTGATGATGGTATAATTTGTGGAGGGGAAGGGAAAAAACAAATCGTTTAACTAGGGATACAGGTGGACCCGTTGCAACAATGAGACATACAAGTCGTCATGTCCAAAAACGAACTTAACAACTTTGGTGGCGGGTGGGGGAGGGCCTGGTGGGGGTCGGGGGGAGGATGGGAAGGGATGGGAAGGGAAACAAAGAGGAGGCAACAAGGCTTGATAAGAAATGTACTCGTTATCTTGCCCATGTAATTGTAACCCCTCTGTGCGGTATTCTCACAATGAAAAGAGTATATCTTGTTTTGTTGCTATTGGTGGTAGTGGTATTAGTGATGGGAGTACAAGATCCTCTACAATGATTCAGACTTTATTTAGTCAGATAGAGTATCATTAAAGATTTTTCCTAGAGCTCAAGTTGTTCTCTGCTAATGATAATAACCATTTTGTGTTTTGAACTCAGGACCTGGGCAGTGTCCCTGAGATTTTTTGCTCAAAGCTAATGCCTTATCACTTGAGGTACAGCTCCTCCCTCTTTTTTTTTTTTTCTTATTAATTGGAGATAAGTATCTCATAGACTCAAACTGCATCCTCAGATCTCAGACCCTGATCACAGGTATGAGCCATTGGCACTTGGCAGATTAAAACAAAAAAAATTTTTTTTTAAACAAAAACTTTTTATAAAGAGATTGACTAGATATATCTTTCAGCTTACAAGTTCCCACTTAGCACAATATTTGTAGTATTTTTATTTTATTTAGTTGTTTTTCTGCCAGTCCTGGGGCTTGAACTCAGGGCCTGGGTGTTATCCCTGAGCTTTTTTGCTCAAAACTGGGGCTCTACCAACTTGAGCCACAGCTCCACTTCTGGCTTTTTAGTGGTTAATTGAAGATGAGTCTCCCGGACTCTCCTGGCCTGGCTGGCTTCAAACCACAATGCTCAGGCCCCAGTCTCCTGAGTAGTGAGGATTACAGATGTGAGCAGCCAGCATGTGGCTCTAGAATTTTTATTCTATATAGGCATTTACTTAATAGAGATAATTCACAAGGTTTATTACAAGATAGACTCAAAGACCATATCATGATAAAATTATTATTCTGATCCTAAGTCTCATTAAAGTCCTCTAAAACCAGTTCTTTATGATAACAGAATAGGCTGACTTTCTGATATTTACCAATCCTTTTATCTTGTGATCTAAAAGTTCCAAGTAATGTTGCTACTTTATGCAGCATACATTTTCCCCATGTGATTATGAATACGAATTCCTTCAGACCTCCTTTTGTAAAATACATGGTTTTTACTTCCTGTGTTCTTTCTGGGAATGATTACATTTTCTCCCTAATTCTTTGTGACTTCTCAAATACTCATATAAATATCCTGGTATGTTTGCATAAGCTTTTTTAAATTTTATTTTATTTTATTTGTATCTGTCATGGGGCTTGAACTCTGGGCCTGGGCACTGTCCCTCAGCTCTTCAGCTCAAGGCGAGTGCTCTACCACTTGAGCCACAACGCCACTTCCGGTTTTCTGGTGGTTTATTGGAGATAGTCTTGCGGACATTCTTGCCCAGGCTGGCTTTGAACCATTATCCTCAGATCTCAGCCTCCTGAGTAGCTAGGATTACAAGCGTGAGCCACCAGCGCCAGGCTTGTGTAAGCTTTGATGGTTACCACACATAGTCTCTTCACCTTTCTACTCAGTGGAGTCAAGAATTGCTTACCACTTTTAATCTGCTTTTTTTAATTGCCACTTTAGATATTCCGCTTACATTCTAGTAGGCTTAGTTATGTTCTAGAACTGCTGTGTAGAACCCAGGAGCCACTAGCTTCTAGTAGCTGTTGGCTACTTCAAATGTGGTTGATCTGAATTGAGATGTGAACTATTAATATACAAAAAAAGAAACTTTTAGCTATCAGAGTAACTTTTTATGTAATATTTGGCCATGTTATTTTAGGTTATTAAAATTCACTTCACCCATTTATTTTTATTTTCTTTTAAATTTTTTTTCAGAAAATTTAAATTACATATGTGGTTCATATTGTATTTCTATTAGATAGGCTGCCCTAGAATAATGTAAAACTAATTATTATACAGGCATTCAAATCCTTGTATAATAGATAGTTCTGTTCCAGACTTTTAATTCCCTGTAGATCCCATGGTCTGAACTATATGGGGTTGCTGTGGCTAGTTTGCCATGTGCCTGACAGTCCCTCTGTATGACTTGGGTAAACTTTTCTCTTCTACTGGAAGACAATAAGGAAAAAGGTTTAGATTGTCATCATGAATGAAATGATTGCCTCTGTGGTAGGGTGTTGTATTCAGTATTACAGAAGTAACTTGAAAAGGATGATACTAACTTTTGGATCTTTAGCTATGAGCTTTGTAAATGAATGTTACATATAAAATAAACGTTAATGAGGAATACCCCACTATTTTTGCTACAGTAAACACTAAGTTATGATTTGACTACTACTTACTGAAAACACTATAATATGTATAAATATTAGAATAAGAAACATTACTGATGTAATTTTACTATTTTTGGAAATATAGTTAACTTACAATCCACATTAAAGTTATGACATACAGTACTTGTGTTCTGCAGATTTTAAGATGTATATAAAAGACAGCAAACTCCCACTTAGAGATAGATAAAACAGTTTATGTTTTAACCTCATGTAATTTCCTATAAGTGCTATATGTGTAGCATACTTGAAACATTACTTGGTTTTTAATATAAAATATTCTTTTTAAAGATCTCTTAGATTTGAGTTTGAATGTTGGAAATTCTCTAAATTACCTATTTTAAATTTCAAATGAACACCGATTAGATTATAATTACACTTATATAATATGGTAGCTAAGTAATAAAACATTTGTTTGATCATTACAGAAATATTCTCTTGTAAAATACCAATTTTATCCTAATTTTTAGGAAACCAGAATTCGAGCAATGGATAAAGATGCCAAGAAAAGACTCCATAGCTTCTCTGTCATCAACCCTGTTGCTGGACAATCTGTAACTCATATTTTTTCAGTTGATAGTAAAGAAGATCTTGAGAAGTGGATGGAAGCCTTCTGGCAGCATTTCTTTGATCTTAGTAAGTAGATATTGGGATTTTCTATCAGTATATTCTCATTGCCTGAATGTTTGCACATAGAAATCTAAATATTAAAATATTTTTCTCTTAGAGCTTATAGCAAGGATGTTGTATGGTCTTGGATAAAATGTTAATATATCACTACATTGATGCTTTTCTTTCTCTCTCCACCTCTTTCCAGTGTCTCGACAACTATTGTTATAGAAGTTTGCCTTTGAGTTTCTACCACTCCTTTTTTTATGCTTCCTTTGATCCCTAAAGCAACAGAACCCCGTTTTCTTAAAAGATTAAGATTTTATCTACTTAAGGTGATATATTTGATCTAAGAGATAAGCCATTTGAGAAACAAAATGCTTTTCCAGGGTACTAATCATCATAAAATATTGAAATGTTCAGAAGGAGCCCCAGTTTTATGTAACCTTCTGTTAACTCTACATTTGTTATTGTATCATCTTGGATATCGCCCAGAGATTTATTTTTTGAACCTCATGTGGTTTTTCAATAATACAGTCTAGTGCCAAGAATTATATAGAAAACAATATGATAGTATTTTGGTTTGGTTCAAGTGTGAAAAATATTTGAGATTCTAATATTTGATTGTCAGTTTAAAGAAGATTTACAGGAAAACAATGAAATTGTAGCTTTTTTTTGTCTTTACCAACAATTTATTTAACAGCATATTTGTTACCTAGAATTTTATGTTGAAAACATGAGTATTGATGATGGCTAATTCTAATTAAGTTAATTTTTATTAGATTCAATTAGCATTTATTATTTACAGTGTTGTCTTATAAAACTACAAGGATGTCATTTCCACATAATTTAAGGCTATTTTTGCAACTTACAGAAATAATCCTAGAGACATTTTAGGAATTACATTTTCTGGAACATTATATACAGTTGTCAGGTTAATTTGTTAGGCCTCCTGATTCAAGACTTCATTGTGCTTTAGAATAAAGTTTGGAAAGGAGGAAAGAAATAATTTATTGATTACCTCCTATGTATCAAATGCTTTTAATTCCATTAACATTCCTATGATATAGAAGACGTTTCAGTCCACTGTACAGATGAGAAAACTAAGATTTTAAAAGGTTGTAGTCCATGGTAGTGAGATAGAGAATTCCTTGTAGGATTTTTAAAAAAATTATCCTTAAGTTTTTCTATGAGGATTTTTTTCAATTCGACATGTCAGTTCGTGAGAACAATGCATCTTGTTCAAGACACCCCTTTCCTAATTCTTTATCTCTTCTAACCCCACACCTCTCCTCAGTTTTCCAAGTTCCATTTTCATATATGCATTGAATATTCTGAGGGCATTTGGCATTATTAAACTCATTACAATGGTGTCTTTAAATACCACTGCTAGGTTCTCAATAAACATTGAAGTATTTGTTCCATCTTAACGAGTCCCATCTTTGACGTCTGAGTGCTGAGATTACAGGCATATACCATCATAGCATGCCAACAACCTCCCTTCTTTTGCTAATCACAGCTGAAATTTTAACTGGTTTCCTAAATGCTCTGACTTGGAGTCTGTTTTACAAAATGCCATACTGTATTTAGAAATTATTCTGATTATTTTATACTTGTATGGGCCTAAAACAGAAAAGATGGCTATATGGAAGAAATACTAATGTCAAAACATTGTAGTTAGGGCATAAACTAATACTAGTGGATAGTCTTGTTCTCTATGTTATCTGAAATAATTTCTCATTTTGAAGTGAGGAGCTAGAAGGATGAACATTTCAGAGTGTGTAGTAGGAACAAGGAAATGATGAATGATGACAATGTGGTTCTCTGGCTTCTTTGGTACTTAATTCCTTTCTTTTTGGGGTAAAAATTGATCAATCTATATAATTTTAAAGTTCTGCTACATTTACTTTGAAATGTTCTGTATATGGAAGTGTTTATAAGATCCTAAATTTTAAACTGTACTTCAGACCTTTCAATTTTTAGTGACAAGCATAGTTTCTTGTAATCTTGGTTGAAGAATGATGTCTAGCACAGAATAGTGATAGCAGAAGAGAATTAAATGAGACTATTTCAATATTTGGAATAAACGTCAATTATTTGGCCCTCCTTCCAGGTGGAAACTCAGAAGGGTGAGATAATTAGAATATACGAGGAAACACTGGTGGAAGTGGGTCTCTTGAGCCTATAGAATAGCGAAGGTTATGGAGGTTAGGAGCAAAGAACATATAATCACTATTTTTAATATTTGAAAGCTAACAACTATATAAAAGAGAAATAAACCTTGTTCTGGATTATTAGTACAGTAGAACTAGGAATGGTGGATCAAAGATAGAAAATTAAGATAGTCTTTGCATATTAAATATTTTTCAAATATTTTATAATAGAAATATTGAGTTAAGCATTTTTGATTGGGGACATTATGACAATATTGTGAAAATTACTTTCAATACTAGAGATTGTTATTCAATCAAAACATATATTTATTTCATATTAACTATCATGTATATCTATGCATACAAAGTTATTCACTGGAAAAATCAGCATTTCAGTTGTGATTCTTGACTAAAGTACAGATCGTATTTCTACCTCTGACATATCAGTAACATGTAGAATGATATGATATTCTAATTTGCAACTTGATTAGTATTCTGCCTCTAGTTTAACAATGCAATGCTTTTATCTGTGAATGCACAAAAAAACCACAAGAATTTCAAAGAATTCAAGAGAATTTGTCCAAGAATGTGACAGAAAAATATTTGCCAGTTTTAAGTGAATCATTATTTTTCCATTAGATAAAGAATTTTTTTCCTGCTACCAAGAAGAAAAAAAATATGGCTTTTATAGATTTGTCTAAAAAAGGAAGTAAAGGGGAAAATGTCAGCTCTCAGTTCTGTTGGATTTACATTTAGAGAGCAAGCTTTGAAACCTTCTGTTTGGAAATTTATGTCTTGTTTAAGTTTTAATGAAGTTATTTGTAAACTTTACAATATTCTCTACTTAGCTTCATGATAAAAAATACAAAAAGGCTCTTATATCCTTCTTAACTAGTTAAGGTAGTGTGTTTAAAATTCATGCAAAAATAGCATTTTGTCATGACAACACAATGAATACATAATTTAACTATGCATGAAATGTCTTTAATTTTTAAACCATGGAAAATAGCCAAGTTGGATACTGAATATGTATAATAAAAATATTTTAAAAAACAAATGTGGAGCATAAATTGGCCTGAAAAAAGGCATAGGTATATTATATTATTTTTCTACAGGTATAATATATAAGAATAGAGAGTCTCAGTAACTTCTTTTTATAATATTGATAGACACAGTATCTAGCACAGTTTCTATACAGCATTCAAGTACATATAAATTTGGAAAATTACACTTGATATCTACTCAAGAGAAATAAATCTGAAATTTTGAAGATTAAGGTGGTGAAACATAAGAGAAAATTAATAATGTCCACACATATTTTAATTGGATAGTTGAAACAGTTGTTCAAGAATATTATTTTTATCTTATTTTCAATGACCATTTTTCCCAAAACAAAGTAGACTCAGAATTTTGTTGATTGATATTTCTTCATAGTTAGGCTTTTATATGTCTTTTTTTAAAAAATGAAAACACATTGTTTAAAGCTATATGATTTTGAAAGCATGGTAATCTTCTTAAAGAGATAGTGGTTAAATAAATTTTATTTTCTCATTTAAAATTTTTGAGAGCTACCATTCCTTTTTTCTAATTCCTTCAAGACAACTGTATTTCAGCTTATAGTTACTTTGTAGCCACCTTTGAGTACTTAATGGTTTAATACTTAAAATAACAGCCTGTCTAAACTCCTACCATGAGTAGAAATTTAAAAGTAATTGGTTATTTTGTGAACTAATATATAGCCTAGAGGTCTTAATATCTCTATATAGAATTTCTTAAATAAAGTAATTTTATGCACAGAATTAGATTTTGAAATTATGGGTAGGACTAGCTTTTGTACAAGTTTTCTTAAGGCAATGTTGAATTTATAAATTCACTGTTTACTTTTAAAGCAAGGATATATGTTGATATCTGTTCATAATGAATTGTATGTCTTCACATTTATGTCTTAAAATAGCCTGCTATTTTTCTTTCTTTCTTCCTTTCTTTCTTAGGCCAATGGAAGCATTGTTGTGAAGAACTTATGAAAATTGAGATTATGTCACCACGGAAACCACCTTTGTTCTTGACAAAAGAGGCAACCTCAGTCTACCATGATATGAGTAAGTGGGGTTTGTCTTTTCTAAGCTGCAGGGTAACAAAAACAACATTGTCCCTACTCAAGCAGCTTATTCTATTGAAATTAAAATGCTGAAATTTTCAGGGCACAATCAAATGAATGAAGAAAAAGAATATGATTATAGACTAAGGAACTCATGTTTAATAGATGAATTAATACAAAATTAATGAATACACATTTTTCATAGTTTGAATGCTCAAGATCAAACAGATTTTAAGACTTAAAATGAATAAAAGTGCACTGAGAATAAATATTAGCTGAGCTGCTGATGAACATTCAGAAAATATAAACTTGCAGATTTTAAAATGAAATTACATTCAGTGATTCTTTTTCTGTATTTTATTGTTTTTTTTCCAACCAGTGTTGATAGGTGAATATTAATGATTGGAAGCTTTCATCTCTAGCCAACAATAATCAGTTAAGTTTAATACTCTAGAAAATTTAAATTTTTCTAACTTATTTGTATTTCATTTCCACATACTTCGTAAGATATTTTTGCTGTGCGTAGGGGATTGCTGCAGTGATTGGTACAAGCAAAAGTCAACAATAAACTTTCATCTAATCTGCCACTAATGTACCTGAGTTTCTACATACTAGAAGTTGTGGATCTAAAATTATATGCTTGTATTTACATACTTAAAAATACCAATAATACTTCCAATAGTTAGGTATCATCTCCGATACTTGTTTTTCCTAAGGAACCTTTTCACCCAGTATCTTATCACCAAATGGTATAAGGGCTTCACATTCTTTCCCTGCATTTGGGATTTGGGGATTTTATTTCCCTTGCAACAGAGACTGCTGTTCTGTAGGAGAATAGAGTATTAATCCAGTCATACTCATTCCAGTTATACTCTAAGCTTCCTTGGATTTCAAAATAAGATTTTAAAAATCCAAGAATTAAATTGTACTCATGTATCTACATTTTATGTTGTTTATTATAGGTATTTTACATGTGTTGTATATATGATATATAATTTGTATAGTACAGTTTATAACATCCTTGATTTTTGTTTTATTGATAGTTATTTTTACAATTAAATATTTTACTGCTTATCCTGTTAACTTTTTGGTGGTTATTATAGATAGCTTAGTTATTTGCAAAACAAACTTACTGAAAGTAAAGTTTATATGCCTTCTGGGTCTTTTTTCTATGCATTTTTTTTTCTTAAAATTATTACAGGCATTGATTCACCAGTGAAACTTGAAAGTTTAACTGACATAATACAAAAGAAAATTGAAGAAACAAATGGACAGTTCCTTATTGATCAAAGTGAAGAACCCTCACCACCTCCTTGGGCTACAATCTTTGATGGTAATCATGAAATGGTCATCCACAAAAAGGTATTGTCCCCTGAAAGTGAGCCAGCACAAGATGGGAAAAGGAAAAAGAGACGAGCTCCTCTTCCTCCCTCTGATAAGCCTCCATTCAGCTTCAAAACACAGAGCAACACAGATCCATCCGTGAAGGACAACTGGGGAAAAACAAGTGTATCTCGAGCCTCGCCTTTGGACACCAGACTTTCTAACCTTATGCACCACTTACAGAAACCAGTCGCTTCTCCTCGAAAACTTCTTGCCAGGAAAAGTAGTTTAACTGATGGTGAGCACACAGACACTAAAAACAATTTTGAAACTAAGCCAGTACCAGCTCCAAGGCAGAAATCCATCAAAGACATTTTGGACCCTCGATCATGGTTGCAAGCACAAGTATAGAAAACCTTTACTGTATAAAACACTTAACAAAAATCTATAACTGGAAGGCTTAATTCAGAAGCATTATAAATGTAAAGTTACATAATTGTACAGGTAAATATGATAGCAATTTACATACATAATTAATAAGCTACTAGGTACAGAAAACTATCTTATAATGAAGGAATACGTTTCTATTTTATTTCTGATTTTCAGAATATAAGTGGTTTTCCCCATAGAGTATAAGAGGCGGTTTCTAGACAATATCCTAATTGTTGGAAGGGTTAATTTATGCCAAAATTAGTACCAGGCAGTGAATAAGCACTAGGCAGAAGAAAGCATTAACATTTCTTTTGGGGAGAGACTGTCTAGTAATTTAAAATGTGTTAAATATGAGCCATATTCTCATTGTGAGAATTTTAATACTAATGGAATGTTTCAAAGGTTTTATTCAAACCACAAATTATAGAATCCACCCAAGAAAATGTTCTTGTTAGCATTCTGGAATTCTCATCTAATGCTTCACTGGCTCACATCTATTGTTTAACTCTCTCGTTTATAGGCTTGACCTTTTAAATTCCTGGGATAAATTTTGGAATATTAGATTCTTTGTCTTTAAAGGGAATTTGTAATACACTATTCTCAGTAGTTTCCTTGATGAGCCCTGAAATCCTGTTGACATTAACTCTCCTAAGTGAAGCATAACATTTATTGGTTTAGAGAAATGGTAGATGAAATGTTCCTTACATGCACTTTTCTGTGTATGGTGTTAATTTCCATTGTGCCTTTGGAATTTGGGGGAGTATAGCCGATTAACACTTTGAAATGTATTTAGTACTTACTTAAAAAGCAGATGGAAGATTCAGAAATATTGGAAAAATTGGTTATCATAATCATTTTCAGGATTAATCCTTTTAAATTTTTTAATTAGATTTCCTTTTTCTAGTGAAGGTTGCTGTCTGCTATAGATATTATTCATAAAGTCATATTCTTACAATAATACCTTAGAATCATTTCCATAGGAGGTAATTTCCATAGCAACTAATCATACTGACCCAAACAGGATTATGAAATCAAGTGAGAAATAAATAGCAAGGGAATGAATATCTTAAAGGAACAAAAAAATACATTTTTGTAATACCCTTCTTGTAAACAAGAGCTGAACAGTTTTAAAAATCAAATCAGAGTTTCCAAATAAAAGTTTCCATAAGGTGTCAGCAACAGCACTAAACATCTCCAGTCACACTAAACCCTAAGCACCATTGCCAGAAGTAAAAATGTAAGAATGAAATTACTACTCTGTGTATAATCTCTGGAGATCTTTTTTTAAAGGTGTTAAGAACTCTATTTGGACCAGACCTACATTATTACCAAACAAAATGAACCCTTGATGAAAAATAAGCATTAATTTAAATGGAGCCTTTTATTACTTTTAGATAGCAGAGTCTTTTTTCATTTCTAGAGCATGATGTAACTACAAGGTTACTTTGTGTTTTTCCAGGACTCTTAGTAAGAATTGGAACCCAAAGGGAGGGGAGTAATGATAAAAAGAACTCTTGTGATTGGGGACAGAAGGACAGACCTAGCCCTTGGAGAGAACGAAATGCTGTTTGCTTAGCCTGGTAGAATTAATTTAGAGACTATCTCATGTGTGAAAACCTTAGAACATAGATGAATTTATTTTTTCTAACTATAGAAGGCTCTCAGAAATGTCTTATTATGATTACCATTTCAGTATATGACAGGCTAAAAAAAAAAGCTAAGGAATGTTACTGTTTGAGTTTATTTTCAACCATAGCTGTTCTTCTTGACACATTTGTAGCAATTGTTGCCACTAAATTTTGTATTTAGAAGATGCTGCAGGCAAAATTGCTGCTAATACTGGCAGTGGAGCATTCCTTTGCCCCTCTTCCTGTACTATAAACCATGATCGAAACTTCCAAATGATGCCATTATTATTTCTAATCATACATATCACAGCAGGAAGAAGTTACATTGTAGAAGAGGGAAAATTTATTTGTAGAGAACTTCCCTAGAAGTTGTGTTCTCAAAGGGAACTGTGAAAAAGTGAAATCTTTCTAGAGCCACTCAGGGAAGCCTGACCAAGGCCTTTTCACCTTCTTACTGAAGGTCACAAAGCACTTAAATCAGACTGCAATCTTCCACTCTCTTTTCTTTGACCACTGCCTTCCTTAACCTGCAATTTCACACTTTCCCTCTCTTTTATCTTCCTTCTATTTCCCTCACAAGAAAAACAACCTTAAAACTACTGAGTTAAAAATTGTCAAGAAGTTTTCATTTGTTTTTCTCATTTCCTAAACCAGAAATTTATGATAGAGAAATATTTCTTGTAATATGAAAGATGTTGCAATGCTTTATGATCTGGCTTTTCACATTCCTTATTTGCCCTTTAATTTGTCTCTTGATGTAGGAAGACTATAAACTTGAAACGCAGAGTTAGTTGTCAGATCTTGATAATAATATTATAATTAGAGAAGCATAATTGACAGAATAGATATTTTATGATAGCATGATAATGTTGATGATCTGAAGATAATGTCTTAGACAATTACATTTACATTTCAAGGTCTAGAATATAAATTACAACAGCATTTAAAGTGGTATTACTTGCTACAAAGTAGTTGGTTTTATATTCTAACATCTTGCAAAGACATAGTACATTTTTAAAATTCTAAATGTATACTTCCTAAGGTAAACAAGCAGTCTTTAGAAAGTATTAAGCATGTCAGCTCTTGCTGAGTGCTGCTAAATCCTCTTTAACCCTCTGGAGTGCTTCTCCCCCCCTCCCACCCACCCCCCACCCCCCACACCAACCCTCAAACACCTTACTTCCTTAAAATGCATGCAAATGTATGTGAAAAACTAAATCCATTTATTATAAATGCCTTATCTTTACCCTTTAGGATGTATTGTACCTGGTACTATTTATTAAAAATAGAAGCTGCCTTGATTTAGAGACAACATGTAAGGTGGGTTAAGTAGTCAAGTGTTTCTTCAGGCTTCTGTTCCGCACCTCAGCCACCTACTGTGAAGTTAATTAATTCAGTCCAAAATGAAATTCTAGGGCAGTTTGGTGCAGTTTATGTTAAATGCCATTTGAATGTAATCATCTGCACAGGAATGGGGAGCAATCGTATCAGATAGAGAATGCTGAAACACAGATGAGAAGAAAAATGCTTTGCAGAAAAATGATCTGTCCCTGTGTCAGAATTTATCAAAACTCAGAGTGAATTATTGAACAGTAATTAAATTTTAATTGATGACCATTTATATTTTAATAGTTGCCTTCTCTGTTCAAGTTCTAAACTGTAATGTAGCTAGAGTAGATGTTTTATACTTAGATTTCACTGCATTGAAATTCTAAAACATCTATGTGTTTAACTGCTTTATTGCAAACAATAATATATGTGAAAACGCTTTATGGATTATGCATTTTTTAAGTTAAACCTAAGGATTTTTTGTTTTGCATTTCAGGCAGGCATTGTTCATAATTTTTTAATTAATAGTGTGACATTGATCAAGATGCATTATACTCGCAAAGTGACATGTTGAAACTCCTTAGTATAACTACTTAAGGATAATAAAGAAATTTTAAGAGAGTCAGTAACATATATTAATTAAAAAGTACTAGATCTCAGACTTTAAAAAAAATCAAAGATATTTGGTTAGGAAACTTAAGTCTCCTAGTGATTCTTTTCTTGTGTGTCGGTTGTGGGTCTGGCCACTGTCCCTGAGCTCTTCAGCTCAAGGCAAGTGTTGTACCACTTGAGCCACAGCACCACTTTCAGTTTTCCGGTGATTTACTGGAAATAAGAGTGTCATGGACTTTCTTGCCCAGGATGCTTTGAACTGCAATCCTTAGATCTCAGCCTCCTGTGCAGCTAGGATTATAGGCCTGAGCCACCAGCACCTGGCTTCTAGTAATTCTTTTTTTTTTTTTTTTGCCAGTCATGGGGCCTGAACTCTGGGCCTGGGCACTGTCCCTCAGCTCTTCAGCTCAAGGCTAGTGCTCTACCACTTGAGCCACAACACTACTTCCAGCTTTTTCTGCTTATGTGGTGCTGAGGAATGGAACCCAGGGCCTCATGCATGCAAGACAAGTGCTCTACCACTGAGCCACCTTCCCAGCCCCTCTAGTAATTCTTGAAAACATTTCCTGCCATTTTTCCTTAGGTCCTCCCTCTGGGCTAGATTGATAGAGGTGGACAGTGTGATAGAGTTGGTTTGATCACAGACATATACAGTAGTTGGTGTTAGTCCTTACAAGACTATACTCAGATTGCCTTTGTATAACTAACATATTTAAATGTTTGCATAGAATCTTCCTTAAAATGTATATACCCTTTTAAAACAAAATCCATCAATGTTACCTTGCTTTTAGCTTAGTGATAGAGAATTTCCCCAGTGATTAAATCCTTGATAACAAATTAGGTACCTACTACATTACAAGAAAGTCTTTATTTTTCATTCATACCCTTCCATACTTAATTTATTCCCATGGAGTATTTGAAGGAGTGGGGGACAGAATGAGTATTCTTGGCTCAATTATGTTATTTCTAAGGCAGTAATGTGATTATAAATATTTGCCAGAGCTGTTCAGAAAACACACATGCACACACATGCACACACACACACACACACACACATACACATACATACACATGCACATACAAACTCCTTTTTCACTAGGGAGAGAAGCCTAAATCAGTGTGCTTAGATAAACAAAATACTAATGTTGAGTTAACAATAAAGCAACTTAGCACAAAATTCTTTTAATGTTTTTCTTTTGGGGAGTATAGGAAAATATACTAAAATTGACATTTGATAAGGAAGATTGTGCCAAATTTTACTGAAGTTGTGTTTCCAGTTGTACTGGTATTCTGTTAGTGTACCTATGAAGGGAGAGATAAACTACCGAGATCTCATTTACGTAATTATGCCATGTCAAGATACCTCAATTTTGTTGAAAATTGTGTCAAAATATTTATGCTTATGTACTC